GGGTCGGGGAGGCGGCGGGCACGGACAGGGCTGACGGGGACTCGTGCAGCGTCTCCAGCGACACGAAGAGCGGCGGGGCGCGGCGCGCGAGCAGCGCCTCGTAGCGCGCGCGCAGGAGCGCCGGCGCCGCGGCGGGGGGCATGGTGCGGGGGCGAGGCGATGGTGGGGGAGGGCGAGGTGAGGGAGGGGGAGGGGGGGAAGGGCGAGCGGGATGTGGCAGGGGGTGGGGTTTTGGATGCGGCGGGCTTTCGGTTCGGGGCTTTCGCGGGAGGGGAGAGGTACAGGTACGTGTACAGGGTACACGTACGGTACGTGTAGGTACGTGACGTACCTGTACACGTGTACCTCTCCCCGTCGAGACCAGCCTGTACCCTGAACACTGTACACTGTACAGGGTACACTGTACAGGTGTGGAACCAACGGTCTCGAACCAGGCAGTATGGCAAGATGACAGACATCGCAAGTGCAGCAAGATCCTAAATGCAATAAGTGAATGCGATGCATTAGTGCAGATGGCAAATACCTGAATGCAAAACGTAATGCATAAGAAGAGGAAATGCAAGTAAGAATGCACACGGGATGCCAACAGCGTTGGCATAGATAAGCGATAGCAAATGCAACCGTGAGCATAGCAAACTAGTATAAATAGAACGAACTCCTAGGCGATAGATAGGGGAGGCAACAGAAAGAGAATTAACCAACCTAAGGACAAGCACCCGTCCTTGAGCATTGTGCTCTTTACCGTGTTCGTAGAGTAGGTCACTGTCAAATACCATCCCCTGTCTAGTTACGTAGACACCCCAGCAATGACCGGATACAGTCCTTTTACAACAGGGTACAGTACAGGCTGGTCTCGACGGATCGCGATCATGGAGGCGGCATCCCGATTGGGGCTGTACAGAATTGCGAGATCTCGGGGCATGTGAGCAGTGCACTGCAGACATGGACACGTGTCCATGTCTGCAGTGCTGCGCTGCTCACCTGCTGCACCTCACACGAGGCCCAGACGTGAACACTTGGCGGGCGGATTTGGAGCCTGGCGGTGCATGCCGCGCCCCAATTGGGCAAAACATGCGACCAAATCCGGAGGGCACTATCAAACTATCAAGTGGCTCACCCAGCGCACGGATGCCTCTGCCGCATAAACACCAGTCCAACATATCCTCCAAGGGGTTGCTGCGCGTCCACCGCCGCCACCTCCACTCGGCAGCAGAAGACAGAAGACATGGACGGCCCCACCGCGACGCCCGCAGCGCCGAAGCCGCGCGTGAAGGACCTGACGGGCGTGACCGCGGCGGCGCCGTACCTAGCGTACGAGGCGCTCGCGGCGCGGCTGCTGGGCGCGGCGGCGGCGCCCGCGCCGGCGGACGACGGGACCGTGTCGCTGATCGTGCAGCGGCCGGCCCAGAACGCGCGCGTCGTCGTCGACGCCGCGCAGATGTCCGTGGCCGGCGGCATGTCCGGCGGCGGGT